AATTACCACAGCAGCAATGGGAAGCTAATACACTCGTTCAGTTCAGAGAAGGGAAGTACGGTCACAGTGAGGGTCAGAGCCCAGCAGTGATTGTAAAAATTAATTTACTAGGTCATGACTGGCATTTTATAAAAATAAAACACCTGTTCAGGACTTGCAAGGTGGGGGCAAAAATCAGATTGTGACCCTTAGCAAATACTCATCTCAAGGTTGATTTGGAAATAAGAATTCTGTTGGAGAGTGTGTCAGCCCTCCTCCCATGCCCACGGGGGAAGAGTAAGGACTACCTACCCCTCCCCTGAAACCTGCTGAGAGATTAGATTGTCTTTCCGATACGGACCTCTGTGTGTTTGCTGAGCAGTGACTGTGATGTGACACATGCCTATGAAATCAGGATGTGGTAGGCTGGCTGCTCTGAGGGCAGCGAGAGCAGAAACCAGACTGCCCTGGAGCAGACTTTTCCCCTGAAGACGGGCGAGGATGCTTGAATGTCTCTCCAGAGCCAGATGTGAGCTGCGTGGGGCAGAGAGAGAGCAGGCCGGCAACTGAGGGATGCCATAAACGCAACAGGGGAAGCAGTGAAACTGACATACAAAGACAAGTGCATTGTCCACCTCCCATCCCCAATGCTGGTGACGTCCGTTGGTTAAAATAAATTGCAAGTCAGAGGGCAATGGAGCTCACGAATGCAGTCTATACAGGTGAGCGCGCTGAGGCCCAGAGCAGAGGGGAAAAGAGTGGAAAGTAGATCCAGAGGGACACACACCAGGAGGCACAAACATCTGGAGGAACAGACAGAAAAGAACAGAAAACATCCTGTGGGTCCTGAGGCATCACCGAAGCTTCAAAGTTAGGACACCCCTGGCCTCTGGAGAGAGCTCAAGACTCCTCTCCTTCCACTCCCTCACCGGAGGGGACATCGGTAGAGGCTAAGGACCACACAAGAAGGACCCTCCACTGGGGATGGGACCAGGATGTGTAAAGGGGTTGTTCCTGGAAAGAGAAATGTCCCCACTGTACTTAGATTTACTACATGTGGATTGATTTGTAATACTAGCAGTTAATGTAATCAAAGCTAACACTAAGTAAAAAAATAAAAATAAATAAGATGAGAAAACAACAGATTTTTTTATTACACATAGTAAGAGTAAGTATTGTTTCACAGTACTTAACGTTTCAGATATACATAGAGGTGTGTACTTGGTCTATATATCACTGGGTCCTGAGCAAAACAATTTTGAAAACCACTGAAGTAGAGTCAGTCACCTGAGGGATTCATGAGGAAGGGTGCTTCACCCACCCCTGGGTGCATTCCTGTAAGAATAGCTAGCTGTGCCAGGCACCGAGGTAAACAATCGTTAGGCATTAACTGCTCACAACAACCCTGTAGTGTTGGAACTGTTGTTGCCACATTTTATTTTATTTTTTTATATATTTGTTTATTGATTTCAGAGAGGACGGGAGAGGGAGAGAGATAGAAACATCAATGATGAGAGAGAATCATTGATTGGCTGCCTCCTGCACACCCCACACTGGGATTGAGCCCACAACCTGGGCATGTGCCCTGACCAGGAATCGAACTGTGACTTCCTGGTTCATAGGTCGATGCTCAACCACTGAGCCACGCTGGCCGGGCTGTTGCCACAGTCTTTAAAAATATATTTTTATTGATTTCAGAGAGTGAGAGGGAGAGAGAAACATCAATGATGGGAGAGAATCATTGATCAGCTGCCTCCTGCACGTCCCCTGTTGGGGATCAGGCCCAAAACCCAGGCATGTGCCCTTGATTGGAATCGAACCCGGGACCCTCTATCCACCTAGCCAAACGAGCTAGGGCTGTTGCCACATTTTAAAGATGACAAAACTCAAGCCCAGAGGGGGAGTGACTCCTATGTTGGAACCATGACCATCTCAGAGCCCCAGCCATCCTGATAAGCATGCTCCCTACTGGGTGGGAGCAGGAAGTGGAGGCACAGTAGTGACCAAGGCCAGTTCCGTTCACCCAAGCTCAGGAGCAGAGCGATGTCGCTGAAACTGACAGGAGGGGACCCCTCCTATGATACCTTGTGGGGTTTCGTTTAGACCCGAGTTTCTCAACTGAACTGCCACATAAAACTGTGTGGCTTGGCAGAGGGTGCACGAGAGGGTGCCAGCCCTATGAGAAGACCTGCCCCTAGAACAGGACCCGGGATGTGGAATGCTGACTGCGTGCGTTCTGAGCCTCAGCCGTGGAGGACATCCGCCCTCCCAGGCTTCAGCCACCTCACATGTATGTGTGGCCTGGGGAAGGAGGTACAGTGTCCCCCCTCCTCCCCTCTTCCCTCCTGCTCACAGGGATCAGGGGCAATCCCTTGACCTCAGGGAGAGAGACCCATGGTCCGCATTCAGGGGTGAGCACACGTTGAGAGAAAAGGAAAAACGCTGGGCTCTTATGGGAAACGTTTCTGTCCCTGGCGTCCCACTGCCTGGGCCAGCCCACCAGGTGCTGAGCCAGATGTCTGCAGCGTGGCTCACCTCTTGTGACCGGAGGCAGTAAGGCCAGTTCGGTGAGGAGGAAGGAGCAGAAAGTCAAAGAACCCTGATGACCCCAACACATTGCACCAACCCCTGACTGACCGCCCTCTTTCCTCGGACTCAGCCTGCCCTGAAGCCTGGGTGTGCAGCTGCATTCCTTGGATACCTGAGAAGGCGGAAAAGAAGGGAGTACAGCATCTTCTTCCCAGGGCACCACAGGGGAAGGCAGATTCCGGGAAGAAACAGGACGCTCTAGCGTTGTTCTCAGAACTCCAAGTGAACTCTCCCACCCCCAGACGCCCCTCACCCAAGAAGTGGCTTCACTTCTGAGGCTTAGAAAACTCTGTCCCCCAAGGGAGCCATTTCAAAGGACACCCCTGCCACTTCCCTGTTTGAGCCGGGCTTTCCCACCCGGGAGCTGTGCGGGGCAGCCCAGCCTGCTCTGAGTCAGCCCCCCTTCACAGATGGGAAGCCAAGGCGCTGAAGGGGAGTGACGGCCTGAAGTCACACTACAGCCCAAGTGGCAGAGCCAGGATTGGGTTCGATTTCCTACCACCACCAAGTCCGTTCACTCGCTGGCTCACCCAACAGATGCGCACTGAGGGCCTCCTTTAGGCCAGGCGCTGTTCCAGGCGGCGGGGAGAGCAGAGTGAGCAACACAGACATGGTTTCTGCTGGCACTAAGCTGATGGCGTCTTTTCCTCAGATCAGGCTGCCTCAGTTCACTTTCCACAAGGAAGAACCGGGTCCAGGTGTGCGTGTTTGTCAGGATGCTTTCGGTGACAAATACCAGGAAAACACAACTCACGCCAGCTTAAAAGCCAAGCAGCCCCCTGGCTTGTGACCTGAGCCCTCTGGATGGAGCGGGTCTGCTCCGGCTGACCAGTCTGAGGTTGCCCGGGACTCTGGTCAGTTCTCTGGGATTCTCTCCCATCTGAGCTCACACTAGGTCGACGGGCTTCCTTTGTGGCTGTTCCACTTCCGTGTTGTGTTCAGTTCATGCAGTTTCCTAGGAGGGGCTTCGTTACCTGAAGTCCCGGGCTTTTCAGAGGGTCTGCTAGGCAAGCCCCTCCGTGGGACAAGTGCAGTTGTGAGAGGCCCTGCGGGGTACCTGCTGCACCGCTGGCTTCCGTTCCACCCCTTGCAGAGCTTTGGGTCTGCCCGGGACGTGACCCCGGAGAGGCTGCATGGCCTCTGCTGGGGTCCTGAGTGCTCTAAGCCAGTCGGCCCGGTGTCCCCTGGCCTGGACCCCTGGCCTCAGGTCACGCAGGTGAAGCCCACTCTGCGGGACAGCGGTGCCGGGAGCCGGCGCTGTAGGTCCTGGGCCGCCAGCGCGCGGCAGGGCGCCAGGGTGCGCTCCCGCCCGGGGCGCACGGATCCGGGGAACCCTCCCTTCCCCCCCACCCCACGCCTGGGCGACGCCCTGTGCACTTTTGCTGCCCGGCGGGTGTCAGCTGGTGAGGGAAGGGGCGGTCCCTGCGAGCTGGGCCACCCGCGGGTGAACCCCGAGCCCGCCCCCTCTGGCTGGGGGGAGGGGGGCGTGCACGCCGCCGCCTGCGATCGGGCTGCGCTCCCCTCTGAGCTCGGCTTCTGCACCGCACAGCGCTGGGGGACGCCATCTGGGTGCCCCGGACCCGTCCCAAACCCAGGGAGGTGGGCGGGCCTGTGACCTCCGGCCGCCCGCCCCCGCCCCCGCCCGTCCCCTCGGAGCCGAGGAGCCAGGCCCCGCCCGCCGCCCACGAGGAAGTAAGTGGCTGCGGGTCCCAGAGCCGGTTCGGCGCGTCGACTGCCCAGAGTCCGCGGCCGGGAGCCCCGAGGTGAGGGGCGTGCGGGGTCGGTGGCCCGAGGTGGGGGGCGAGGGGAGAGCCTGGAGATGAGGGGGCGCGGGGATCAGGGGGGCCCGAGGATGAGGGGGGCGCGGGAGGGGACGCCGGGTGGGGAGGGAGGAAACCCGCCATGAGATGCGGGGGCCCCCGGAGGTGAAGGGGCGCCGGGTAGTGAGGGGCCGGGGCGGGGGGTGAGGGTGGCGGGCCGGGCCAGGGGTGGGCAACGGGGGGGGCGCGCCGCACCCGGCGTCCTCCAGGTGGTCGCGTCCCCTTCCCGCTCGCCCCTCCCCGACTGTGCCCCCCGGTGGGTGCCCCCCGTTATGTCGGCCGGCGAGGGACCCACGCCCCGGCACTTCCCCTCCATCCTGCACCTTCCGGGTTGCTCCAGCGGGAAATGAGCTGGCGTCCCCGCCCGTCCCTCCCTCCACCCGGTGCCCCCTCCCCCGCCGTGTCCCAGGGCCGGGGCCGAGGGGTCCCGCGCTGCGGAGCCTCGGAAACTGGGGTCCCAGGCGCCGGCGGATCTGATCGGCCCCGCTGGGGCAGCTGCGGGCGAACAGCCCGGCCGTCCCGGGGCGGGGCGGGGGGAGGGGGGGGGGCGGGAGGCCAGGGCCGGGGCCCGGGCGGTGACAGTGAAGTACTGGCTAGTGTGGAGCAGGGGACTGGAGGCGCCCCCGGCTCCCGGCCGCCCCGCCCGGAGGTCCGTGCTGCCCGAGGGTAGGGCACCCATTGCCCGTGAGGCCACAGGGACCCGGTAAGAGTGCCAGCGTCCTCCTCCACGGGCTCATGACCGTAGCAAGCCGCCACCCCTGGGGCCTCGCCTCGCTCATCTGGAAAACGGGGACCTCTCAAGTCTGAGCATAAGCATGGCCACGCATGCAAGGCGCTTGCTAATGGGCCGGGCACACGGAGTGTAAATGTGTGCTGCTGCTGCTGCCGCTGCCATGGTAAGGCCTGCCCACCTGGATCAGTCTGTCCAGGTGAACCTGATCCCTGAGATTTGGGGTCAGAGTTTGCTGTGCCTGTTAAGAGCTGTGTGACTTTGAGCAAATCTTGGCTTTTGTTTGAGTCTCAGAATGAAGGTTAAAAACAACACAAAACAAAAAACGTACTAGGCTTGGTTTAGAAGAGAGAATAGAATGTATGTCAAAATCCTGGGCATTAGAGATGCCAAGTAAAGTTAGTTTATTACCTGTGTGCTTGTAATCGTTAAATAGTACGATGTTGATATCACGTGTACTCTTTCCATAGCTGTAGTCATCTGGATTTTTCTACCCTCTCCCCATTACAAAGAGGGTTAGTATGAACATGTTTGCTTTGGGAAAAAAAAAAAACACCACCAAAAAAACCCTCAGTGGCTATTTTCTTAACAACAACAAAAAAAATGTATTTATGTCACCCAAGAGTGTTAATGATCTTAATTTCCTGTTCATGTTATTCTGTTCTGTTTGTTCCTACCCAGCTGTTGAGTTGAGCGTTATCACATCACTATTCAGAAAGACTGAATAAATTAGCAACAAATTAGAATTTCTCTACATCCCTGCCAGCATTAAGTTTTATGTGTTTTTTTGTTCTGTTTTGTTTGAGTTACTTTAACTGGGGCTTTATGGTGTTTTGTGATTGTTTTCATTTGTGTTTCTTGACTTGACTTTGCCTGGTTTGTGAGACTTCAGGAGAATTAGGGAGGAGGAATTGGCTGGTCTGTCTCGGGTGGCAAGGGCTGCTCCACACACAACAGGAAATTGAATAATTGCTTAGCATGCTGCAAAATGGCTTGCTGGCAGCTCTCTCCAGCCAGCCTCTGAGCTGGGTGGGGACTTCCCTGAGTGCCTGTAAAGCAGAGATCCTTGCTCCAGGCACCTCCTGCCTGGATTAGCCGAAAATACAGCCAAACGTCTGGGTTCAGGGAAGGCTGGCAAAGCTTCTCTTAAAGTAAGAAAAAACCTACAGTGGGTGCCTTCCAGCCCCAGCCTTTTCTGGATGGAGATGTGAGGAAAGCATTGGCTGAGGCACCCAGCCAGTATGGACAGAGCCATAATTCGAACCCAGCACTGTAAGGAAGGGGCCCCAAGGCCTGGGACCCTTCACCTGACTTGCTGTGCTTTAGAAGGAGCTATAGTCACCCTGAATCCTCAGAGGACCCTCTAGATTGCAGGTTTCTGAGCTTTTCTGATCATTGACCCTATCAGGGAAAATACTTGAGTACATGCTCTCCAGTAAACCAGTAAATATGTACAAATTGCATTCATGTGCCACTGAAGTAATATGGCATATCCCTTACAGCCCATCCCCTCAGACAGACATGAAAGGATATGATTCATTCATTCAACCACATTCAAGAAATATTTATTGCCGAAACCAGTTTGGCTCAGTGGATAGAGCGTCGGCCTGCGGACTGAAGGGTCCCAGGTTCGATTCCGGTCAAGGGCATGTACCTGGGTTGCGGGCACATCCCCCATGGGGGGCGTGCAGGAGGCAGCTGATCGATGTTTCTCTCTCATCGATGTTTCTAACTATCTCTCTCCCTTCCTCTCTGTAAAAAAATCAATAAAATATATTAAAAAAAAGAGAAATATTTATTCTGTATCTACTGTTTGGCAGGTATTCTGATTGGCTCTGGGGATACATCAGTGAACAATTATCCCTGTCCCCGTGGGGCTTATGCCCCAGTGCATGGTCTTTGGCACCCCCTGGATGGAAACCCACACCCCACCTTGGGGACCCATACCCCCTCCTAGCCCCCATGTCACTCTTCTTTGCCCTCACGCCACCAGCCATGGGCGCTCCTGGGTCCATTCACACTGAGCATTCTCTGCGTGTGGACGTGGGGACCACAGAGAGATCCTGGCTCCAGGCGGGGGCAGAGCAGGGAGTTTCAGGATTTGGTCCGTGTTCCCCCAGCCTCACTCAGTTTCAGAGGTGATTGGGGGTGAAGGGGGCAAGTCCCAATGCCATGCCCAGGATCCCCTCCTCTCCGAGTGGGGCCCACAGAGTGCTGGCTCACCGAGCCATGAGGACAAGTGGGTGGGTGTCCGGGAGGCCACAGCCTCAGCCTGCCTTTGTCTCCACCAGAGATCATCCCTGAGATGACGTGCTTGAGCAAAGCAGCCCTGACAGCATTTTCCTCGGCAGGAGATTGGCTGGCAGTGAGGGTAGAGGTTTTCCTGGGCTTAAGTCAAAGTTCTGACGCAGGGGGCCCAGTGTGAAGGCTGCTTCCTGGGGTCTGACACAGAGACAATCTACTGATTCCTAAGCAAGGAGGTCACAGCCCTGAGGCCACAGTGGCTAGAGAAGTCCTTCCCCTCTCTGGGCTCTCATTTCCTCTTTTGTACCTGGGGGTTGGGAGTCATTGCTGAGGCTCTTGCTGGTTTCAGGTGCTTTGCAGAAGTTATGAAAAAGGGAAGTGCATCTTCCCCTCTCCCACTCCCTTCAACCGAAACCCCTGCCCCCTTTATGGTGTTGATTCAGTGGACTAGGAAGTGTTTCTCTCTGAATTCATGCTAAAGTGCGACTGCTGATAGGTGTAGCCTGAACCTCCCTCCCCTGCCTGCCCCACTGCGCACATGGCCTCTTTGCCAGCTTGATGAACCTTTGGGCCCCAGGAAAAAATGGTCAGAGCTCCCCAAGTCCTCTCAGGTACATGGCTTGCTAGTATGGGGGCCACTGTCCTCAGCTGACCCAGCCTCTCCATCTTCACAGCCTGAAACTCTGGAACATCATGCTAGACAGGCTTTTCACATGTCCTTGGACACTCTTACCAAGACTGCAAGGGGCAGAAATGCCTGGCACAGTTGGAGCTGGGAAGTTGGGTTCTGCTGACCAACTCGGAGCCTGAGCCTGGGATCCAGGGACTCCCACCCTCACCCCAGGATGCAGCTACAGGGCTTCTTCCTTCTGGGCCTCCTGGGACTGAAGGGGTCAGGGTGGTTGGCATCAGCTGGACTAGGGGTTTGGAAGTGGGCTCTGGCCTTAGCCCTGCCCTGCCCTGTTAGTGACCTTGGAGTGGGGGGGTGGGGGGGTGGGGGCGGCAGATTAGCACAGTTTATCAGTCAGACAAGCCTGACGCTCCCATTCCTGAGCATCTGTAGTGTAGACAGTGATGACACCCTGCCCCAGCACAACTGGAAGCCACCACGGGCCCAGTCCAGATGCACCGGAAGCTTGGGGGAACTCCCCCTCAGGCACGCTGACCTGGGCTGACAGCTCCGCCACCACAGCCACTTCCGTGGCCTTGCCATACACAAAGAGGCCTTATAAGGAGATAGGCCGGGGAGGCAGCTATTGTGGGAGCAATGTGCTAGTGTGTGTGCAAGGCCGAAAACACATGTCTGGGAGCAGTGTGCTTGTGTGTGTACAAGGCTGAACATGCATGAGCATGTGTGGCCTGAGCCTGGGCTGCCAAAGAAGCGATGTTCACTTTGGTCTTTACTGATAAGTAGGATTTTGCCTAGGCCAGTGGTTCTCAACCTTGGCTGCACATTAGAATCACCTGGGAATCTTTAAAATCCTGATTTCTGGGCCTCGTCCTCCGGAAATTCTGATTCTTTGTTACGAATGTTGTGGCCTCACCCCATAACAAAGAAACAGAATTTCTGGAGGACGAGGCCCAGAAATCAGGATTTTAAAGATTCCCAGGTGATTCTAATGTGCAGCCAAGGTTGAGAACCACTGGCCTAGTAGAACAGAGGTGGGCTGGAGAGAATGGCACGCAGGTGTGAAATGTGGCAGGACTGGCCTTGAAGGCACATCAGGCATGTCCCCAGAAGGCAGCCTTCCCTGCAGAGGGAGTAGCATGTGTGAAGGCCAGGAGATGGCTGAGGGCCCCAAGCTCAGCATGAAGAGGAGGCAGGGGGGCCTCGCCCCTGGTCACAGCCAGGAGGGAGGGAGTGGCCTTTCGAGGGCAGTTGTTGGGAGGAGCCAGCCTGTCCTGAGCAGAAATGAGCAGAGCTCTGTGAGGAGGGGTGAGGGTAAAGGCAGGTGGGGGGTGACCCTTCTAGGTGCGGACCCCACCCCTCCTCAGGCCCAATGGCCTCCCCTGCAGCTCAGCCAGCAGGTGGGAGGAGGCTTGGGAGGTGCAGGGCCTGAGCTGGGGGGTGAGCTGTGGCCCCTCTCCAGGTGGGAGGTCTAGTAGCTGCTGCTGCTGCCGCCAGGCCTGAACCTGCAGTGCTGGGCCCAGTCCCCCCTCCTCTTGGTACCTAGCTGCCCTCTGGACCCTCCTTCAGCTCACATCCATGCTGCCCTGGGACCCCAAAAACCCCACCACCCACGCCAGGCCCAGTGCAGCCCATCCTCCCAGCCACAGGAGCAGCAAGTGGGTTTTCTTGATGAAAATAGGATCTGTCTGCCTGTCCGCCTGTGCCCTTCCCCACAGGTGCCACAGAAGCCCCCCCCCCCTCTTTACCCACCTGGAAGAGAATGGGAAAGACCAGGGCTCTGGGTATGGAGGGTGCTGCTCTCGGTTATTTTTTTAAATATATTTTATTGATTTTTTACAGAGAGGAAGGGAGAGAGATAGAGAGTTAGAAACATCGATGGGAGAGAAACATCGATCAGCTGCCTCCTGCACATCTCCCACTGGGGATGTGCCCGCAACCCAGGTACATGCCCTTGACCGGAATCGAACCTGGGGGACCTTTCAGTCCGCAGGCCGACGCACTATCCACTGAGCCAAACCGGTTTCGGCTGCTCTCGGTTTTTGAGGTCGTTTCATTTCATCCTCACCCCATTCTTCTGGGGGAGCTCTATCTATGAGAAAGCTGAGGCACAGATGATGGGCGATGGCCTGCCTGGCGCAGGGTCCCTGCGCACCCCACTCACAGAGGCTTCAACACTCCCGTACTTCCCATCCCATCCTTGTTCTGTTCCCGGGAGCCTCAAAGACAACCCATGAGAGCTGTCATTTTACAAGGGAAACAGGTCCCAGGAGTGAAGCAAGGCATTAGGCCAGAGTTAGGAGGGAGGGTGGTCCCACTGCCCTCCTGTGAGGTCAGTTGGGGCCTGGTCTGGGGCGGGGGCAGAGTTGACTTGGGTTCTCACCTTCTTGGGCACAGGAGCTGAGAAGCCATGGCCTACCACAGCTTCCTGATGGAGCCCATCAGCTGCCACGCCTGGAACAAGGACCGCACACGTGAGTGCCCTCCGGCCCCCGGAGCACACAGGGCATTAAAGTGGCAGGTACCCCGGACTGCGGGCTCTGTGAGGGCCAGCTGTCCCCCTCCTTCACTTCTGATCCTGGGTGCTTAGGAGGGAAGGGATGAGCCGCGCTGGGACAAGCAGCGGCAGCCAGGCGAGTGGGCATTGAGGGGTGGAGGTGAGAGCAGGAACAGGAATAGGCGGGCTGTAGGTGCAGGGGTTCCCAGGCTGGGGGAGGGGCGGGGATAAGGACTGAAGACATAACCTGCAATGGCAGGTAGAGAGATGAGCTATGAAGAACACACGGGGTAAGGGAAAGCAGTGGAGGCAGAGGTGCTGATTTAGAAAAGGTGGCCAGGGAAGGCCTTTCAAAGGAGGTGACATTTGTACAGGACCTAAAGGAAGGGAGGGAGGAAGGGGCAGGTGCAAAGGCCCTGAGGTGGGACAGCAAGGACCATGGCTCGACTTGAGAGCAGAGGGCAGTAGCAGGGGACTGGGCGAAGCTCCCAGAGGTCATGAGACTGTTGTGGGCATGTCAGGGTGGACCATGTGAGAGGGGCCAGTCCCTGGGGAGGTGTCATAAGAAGAGCCCCAGCAGGGCCTGAGGGACTTCAGGGGGCCCCTCTGAGGCAGAGGAGTCAGAGTCTCAAAGGACAAAGTGCTGCCCAGCTGGTCTTGAAGGGCATTCCTGCTAGATGCAGCGGTTCTCAACCTGTGGGTCGCGACCCCTTTGGCGGTCGAACGACCCTTTCACCGGGGTTGCCTAAGGCCATCTTGCATGTCAAATATTTACATTACGATTCATAACAGTAGCAACATTACAGTTATGAAATAGCAACGAAAATAATTTTATGGTTGGGTCACAACATGAGGAACTGTATTTAAAGGGCCAGAAGGTTGAGAACCACTGTGCTAGAGGGTAGTTGAAGGGCAATGGGGAACCTGGGCATGTGTGCATCTTCTGACTCCACACACCCTGCTGTCTTTCCTGCAGAGATTGCCATCTGCCCCAACAACCACGAGGTGCACATCTATGAGAAGAGTGGAGCCAAGTGGGCCAAGGTGCATGAGCTCAAGGAGCACAACGGGCAGGTGACAGGTGGGTCAGGCTGGCTGGGACCACCCTCCTGAAAGGAGGCACGGGGTAGACATGACTAACCAGGGCCATCCATGCACTCACTGTGTTGGTAGGATAGTTTGGGTTGTAACACAACCCTGATTCAAAGTGGCTTAAGTTATAAAGGGATTATGCTGGTTCATGTTACTGTAAAACTCAGAGTTTTTGGGCTTCAGGAAAGGTCTGATCCAGTAGCTCAGCATTACCAATAACCCATTTCTTTTCTGTCTCTTGGCTTGGCCTTCCAGCATGTTTGGTGATAGTTGTCGGAACTGTAACACCCCCAATAAGCTCTAGTAGCACCCCCTGGAGCCGCTTTTAGATTGTGACCTCTGAGCCCTTCCTAATGGAACTTCAGAGTCATCCACTTCTGCTTAGTTCCCTTCAACCTGGTGTCCCCTCCCCTCCCCACAGGCATTGACTGGGCCCCTGAGAGTAACCGCATTGTGACCTGCGGCACCGACCGCAATGCGTACGTGTGGACGCTGAAGGGCCGCACGTGGAAGCCCACCCTTGTCATCCTGCGGATCAACCGGGCGGCTCGCTGTGTGCGCTGGGCCCCCAATGAGAACAAGTTCGCTGTGGGCAGCGGCTCCCGCGTCATCTCCATCTGCTATTTCGAACAGGAAAATGACTGGTGGGTGTTTGGGCGGAGCCTGAATGGGCCGGGAGGTACGCGGGGCTGCAGACCAACAGGTGGTGGGACTAGAGTATCCCAGAAAACACCAGATGGGGTGTTGGTCTCTCTGTTCACACCACCCTGGGGAAGTGTGACCTCTCTGGACCTCATAGATGAGGTGAGGGGCTCTGCACACCACTGGGTGCTCCCACAGCCCTGTCTCAGTAACAGGGGGACAAACCACACCAGGCCACCTCTGTGGTGCTCGCATTAAGCCCTGCACGTGTATTGGCACTGCTTTCCCCACAGCTCCCTGAACTGGGCTTCTGTTCGTACTTTACAGGTGAGCAAAGTTAGGTTCTGAGGCAAAGTCACTTGCCCAAGGTACCCAGACACAAGCTTCCGGCCACATCATAATCTCCCCTGGATCCCTGAGGGCATAGGCCAGGCACGAGCTCAGGCTGGAGCCTGGGAGACCCAAGTTCAAATCCCTCTCTAGCCAATTAGTAGCGTTACTGAGCCTGCCCACGGTTGTTGTGAGTTTTAAAGGAGACAGGGTACAGAGTTCCCACACATTACTGGCCTGAACCTGGCCCTGACAGGCCCATCGGCTAGCAGTGCCCAGATCCCTCTCTCCTGGACCGCATTGGTCTGCAGGGCACAGTGGGAGCCTGGAGTCCCTTAGGCACTGAGGCCCCTGACAGTGAGTAAGTGGGTCTGCTTCTCTCTTCTTCCTACCTGCCTGACTGCTGTATCCAGGTGGGTGTGCAAGCACATCAAGAAGCCCATTCGCTCCACCGTCCTCAGCCTGGACTGGCACCCCAACAACGTGCTCCTGGCCGCAGGCTCCTGCGACTTCAAGTGCCGGTGAGAGGGTGGCACCCTGACATCAATGGGACAGGCATTTGAGGGTGGAGGGGAGCCCCACACCCGCCTTCCAGACCAGCTCTGCTGCCAGCAGGGTGACCTGGGCTCTGTGAGGTTTTGCTCTTTCTAGGATCATCATTGGCTCCTGTCTCTAGCCTGGGGAGAGTCTTGGCCTCTTCCTACCTCTTAATGTCAACAAGGTTTCTTTCCTAGACCTTCCTCTCCTGCTTCATTAGAATCTGCCACCCCTTCAGTTTCCTGGCTTCTGTCTGAAGGAAAATGAGTGGTGTACTTTTTCACACTAAGGAATAAATGACTGATAAGCTGCCTCATTGTCTTAAGACCTGGAATGTAGAGTCCCCAGTAGCCATCGGCTGTTCTTTACTTCTGGGTTCAGCAGCCCTGTCTCCCAAGCCTCCAGCTCCCAGCTCCAGGCAGATGACCTGGGTCTCTGAATCTCCACCTGGGAAACAAGGCTCTAGCAGGCTCAGAGGTCCCCTTGGAGGTCCTGGGCATGGGGAGGAGGATGCCCTGATGAGGCTCTGTTGGTGAGTAGGGAGCTGTTTTGTTGGCACCTGATCTGTCAGGTGACCCCTTGCTGGTCCTGGGATGTAGTGAAGAGGATTAACGTGTGAGAGAGCAGTGTGCAAGACACGGGGAAGTAATGGTTCAAGGTGCAGAGTAGGAGGGAGAAGGGGCATCTGGGACTGGAGTTGTGGCCAGCATGAGGAGGACCAGGACACCTGGTGGTGTGTCACCAATGGATGGTCCTGGGAGTTCACAGGACTCTGAGCTGGGAGACCTCCTGGCCCTTCTCCATTGCACAAAGATGGCACTGAGGCCCAGACTTGACCACCTGTGCAGATGCAGGTCATGAAAAGCTGGCTCTGGTATCATGAGCTTCTAGCCAATTGCTCTGACCTTACCAGGCTGGTTTGAGAAAGGGAGTCTCTTTAGACACCCAGTCACCTTTTTTCCCCCCCCTCTGTGGGCAGGATATTCTCAGCCTACATAAAGGAAGTGGAGGAGCGACCAGCACCCACCCCATGGGGCTCCAAGATGCCCTTCGGGGAGCTGATGTTCGAGTCCAGCAGTAGCTGCGGCTGGGTGCACGGTGTCTGCTTTTCAGCCAGTGGCAGCCGCGTGGCCTGGGTCAGCCATGACAGCACGGTGTGCCTGGCTGATGCTGACAAGAAGATGGCGTGAGTACTGGTCACCCAAGGGGAGGACAACAAAGGCATAGAGCAGGAGGGGCCTGGTGGCTGACATCTCTCTCTCACTCAGAGTCACAACTCTGGCCTCTGAAACGCTGCCACTGCTGGCCGTGACCTTCATCACAGAAAACAGCCTGGTGGCTGCGGTAAGGAAGGAGGGAAGCAGCAGCCAATTAAAACAGGTCCCCCTCACCCCCCAAGCCCAGGGGTGCCCAGGCAGTTATATCCACGTGTTCCCTCCTTCCCTCCCTCCCTCCCCACTCCTTCCCCGAGTCCTCCCTCCCTTTCTTCCATCCATCCATCCTTTTGTCCATAGATCTGTATTGATTAGAATAGGTTGCATTATGCTGTGGTAACAAAAAAAATTCCCCAAATGCAGGGGCTTGACATAGTAAATACTGATTTCTTGCTCACTTGATATGTCCAGTGGGTGTTGTGAGGGGGGTTCTGCTCAGTGCAGATGGAGGCTTTGTCACCAAAATGCTCCCCCAACGGCCATGGAGGGAGGAGGGAGAAGGGGGAGGTGGAGATCACGCCCTGGATGGTTCTTAACATCTCTGCCTATTTTATTGGCAAGTAGAAATGACAGGGTCACACCTCGCTCAGAGTGGGTGTGTGTGGGGGGTGCAGTTCTACCATGTGTCCAGAGGGCACTACTGTTCTTCCCTCCTTCTGCCCACCTTGGTCAAGTCCCTTTTCACCCTCAGCAGACATGATGGGGGTCCGAGAGGGGAATCAAGCCCACTTGGCCTGTTAGGACAGAAGGTCCCTGGGCTCCCAGAGGTCCCAGACAAGCTTTTTCATCAAGACACTGGTTTTACTGGGGTAGGAGCCACCCCTATTTGCTAACCCCCAACATCTGGTCCCTCTACCTGGGCTTGGTCTGGCAGCGTCCGAAAGCTGGCATCAGCTTCCCCGTAGCTCCTCCATCCAAGTCCATCCAGCCTGCGCGGCTGCCAGACTCATGGACCAATGCTCCTGCTGGCTCGCCTTGCCTCCAGCCTGTTTCCCCCGGGCGGAAAATGGGGGCGCTGCTCCTGCCCTCGGCCTGTGCTCAAATAGCACCGCCCCCACCACAGGGCCACGACTGCTTTCCGGTGCTTTTTACCTACGACGGCGCCGCGGGGACGCTGAGCTTCGGTGGGCGGCTGGACGTGCCCAAGCAAAACTCTCAGCGCGGCTTGACAGCCCGCGAGCGCTTCCAGAACCTCGACAAGAAGGCGAGCTCCGAGGGCGTGGCTGGCGGGACGGGCCTAGACTCGCTGCACAAGAACAGCGTCAGGTGAGGGGGGACCTGGGGGGCCGGGGTGGGCGGAGGCGGGCCTGGATTCGCTGCGTAAGAAAGGAGGCAGGTGGGGGCGGGGCCAGGGGGGCAGGATGGGGCCTGGAGCGGTCTGATCTGGACTCTTCCTAGCAGCTTGGAGGTGCGACCCCTGGTTTGGGGAGCCAGGTAGCTCTCTTTAGGTTGCATAATACAATCAGCGGGGGTAGCCAGTCAGCGTTTGTAGGACGCGGTCGTGTGAGGACCATCGTAGGGGCGGGGCCTGTTTCTCGGTTGGCCAGGCAGTGACCAGCTGTGGGCGGGGCCACAGCTGAAGCTGGTCTCAGGCTAGAAACTGGTGAACTGGTGGCAGAACTAAAGATTCCAGCTGCAGCCTCTGAGGAACTAGGGTGTGACGAGAAGACCCTCCAAAACTTCCAAATCCGGCCACACAAATAACTTTGGCCAGAATTTCTGACCGAGCCAGTTAAGCCCTCCTGTGGCTGCTGGGTACAGTGATGTCTTCTGACCAACACCTTTGTCCCACTTTCAAAGCTTTTCAGAACTAGTTCCTCGATCTCGCAGCCCCATCTTTCACTTTATTCTGCCACCCTATTGTCACTACACACATTCCCCAGACACACATCCTCCATGCCTTGCCCAGGCCTTTGTATCTTGTTCCAGTTGCCTGGGCTGCCTTTTATACCCTGCACACAACTGCTGTTCCTAAAGCACTCGTGAGCCCTGTTCTGTGATCCTGCACAGCCTGCCTCCCAGGCTGTCTCTGCGAGCAAACCCCAGGACTTCTCACTGAAGTCAGTTCCCCCAAGAGCTCCTGGAGGGCAGGTTGGACTGGAGCCTGGCACTGGCACAGGCACAGGCATGGGCTGGCGTCTGTAAAGCCCTCATCATCTTTACAGCCAGATCTCGGTGCTCAGCGGGGGTAAGGCCAAGTGCTCGCAGTTCTGCACTACCGGCATGGACGGTGGCATGAGCATCTGGGATGTGAAGGTGAGTCTTACCCCACCCCGGCTTTCCACCAGACTCCCGAGGGCCCTTCCTCCCATTTTGCCCGGGCAGCCTCCCTGGATGTCCTGTCCTTCAAGTAGGAGAAAGGCACTTCGTTGGAGTGCAGTAGGAGGGATGAGAGGCAGTCCCTTGACACCTGAGCCTTTGCATGCTGAGGCACCTCCCTCATAGGGCTGGGATTCAAACCAGGTCTGTTGGACCCCAAAGACCAAGTTTTTTGTCCTCTGCCTGCCTGGGGTTGGGGTGGGTAGAATGTCTACAGGACAGTTGAGAACCAGCCTGTTCTGCTCATCTCCTTCCAGAGCTTGGAATCAGCCTTGAAGGACCTCAAGATCAAATGACCTGTGAGGAGAATGTTGGCCTCATCCCAGCTGATAGGGGAGGGGTCAGGGAAGCTAAGGCTCGCTTTGCTGAGTATTTCTAGAGCACCCACAGGGAGAGGGAGGGGAGGGGGCTGGAAGCTTTTCTTACCTATTTGAAGGAACACGTGCCTTTTTCTTAAACAAATACTTTCATTTATTGTAAAAAAAAAAAAAAAAAAAAAAAATGTCCCCAAAGCACTCTGCTGGTCATGAACTGCTTCAAAACGTGGAGGTAATAAAAATACAATAGTAGACATGCTCGCCTGTGTTTGGAAGAGGTTAGTTCTCGCACAGACATAGGTACCTTATTTTTGCTTGCCAGAAAAAATGATCCTTAAACCCAAGAGCCTTCCCCCAAATGGTTCCTTCCCCACTGCAGTCCAGCCTAGGGGGAAGGTCTCTTTCTGTCATTCAGCAGATTCCTAGACAAGTGATTGCTCATTCCAGGCTGATTTTGGGGTTTAATGTAAATTCAATTACTCTGTTTGATGTTTTGCAGTTGGTTTCCGGTAAATGCTCATTATTTTTTAAGATTTCCCCTCATTTTCATTTTATTCAGAGGGTTACGTTTGTTTGTTTTTTAATAACATACTTTATAGTTATGGGGTTTAAAAAATCTAGGTAATGAGGGAGTTTCTGTAGGCCAGGATGAGCTGCATATGCTGGCAGCTGTGGCATCCCTCCTTGGGTGCCCAAGGCTGTGACCTCCAGCATGGCCTAGCCCAGGAGGTGTGGTAGAGGTCACTGGGATTTGGGCTCGATCACTAAACCCCTGTCTGACTTCAGGTCAAACTCCCTGCTTGGCACCTAGTCATTGACTTCTCCGGACCATGTGCAAAGAAAGGATGATGCTGTTCATGAGGCAGACAGAGTGCCTCTCAGGGGGTTGCAGGGGCAGGACAGGCACTACGGTGGAGCCTGCAGGCAGCGGTGACTGAGCTAAGCCCCAGCGTCCCTGCTGCCATCCCCACCAGAATGGGTGGTAAGGACTGAATGAGGTGACGCTTGGCAGTCATGCTGGATATTAGCTATTAAGATGCTTCCTCCCTGCACTGAAATCTGAGGCTGTTACCACCAGGGGGCACCTGAAGGACAGGACAGGGAGGTCCAGTGCTGCTGCCAGCCTGCTGTGGACATGGACAGGTCCCTGGCCACTCTGGCCTAAGACTCCTACTTGGTAAAAGGGAGAGGGCCAACTCCTGTATCCTGAGGTCTCCAATTTGGATGCCCAGGGTCCAGTCCCCAAATCCTGCTCAGTGCCAACTGAACCTGTGGGACAGGCCTGCCTTGAGAGTGACAACGTGCCCTGCTAGGTAAAAATGGCCCAGGCACAGGGGCCCAAAGATGGATCATGGAACAAGGGTTACGATAATGCCAAGTTTAATCTGCCAAATATACAAGTTGGATTTGTAGAGCATGTTTTGCCTGGGTGCTGCACAGTAAACAGAGGTTTCTTGAAATGATCCATGGGTAGGGTTAAGAATGGGCGCTGGTCAGAAAGGTGGGAATGGGGCAGAGAAGGGCACAGGGAAGGCCATGGGAAGAGCCATGACCCTCAGAGACCCAGGGGTACAGGCTCCCAGATGACAGCCCCTGAGTGAGCACCCAGGCAACACAGATGGGCTGGTTGTTGCAAACTCACCAGCAGCAGCCCCCAGCACAACCACCCTCTACTGTGCAATCTACTGGACAAATGGACGCTCTTCTTACCCCACCTCCCAGGCACCCCCAACAAAAGTTCTGAATTCTAAAAACAGCAAAAACATTCGAATGGTTACATATGAAATGCTGTCCTGCATCTTTCTGTCTCAAAGATAGCAGCTGCCCCCTCCCCCCAGCCCCCCACCCACCATCCCCCAAACAATTTCCGTGCCAAGATGAAGAGGAGGCCCCAGGCTGTGGGGAACTCCTTGTCTTGAGGGGCTGCTGCAGTGGTGACAGGGCACAGGGTGGGCGAGACACAGCAGCAGTCCTGGCCGCATGGCCCAGTTCCCTGGTATCTCCTCCCTCAGGCCTTGTTACTTATTCAGGGAGAGCGACTGCATTCGTTTTCCTGACAAAGTTGCGTCATCTTTTGCTAAGAGTAGAAAGGGAAGGAAAGGGTAGTTAAAACAACCCCTCCACATATCCAACCCCACTCCCAGAATCAAGTCAGAACTCTAAGGCCTCAGAAAACATTTGTGCAACTGGCTCACCAGGCAGAGAGGCCTGCCTGATGCCCTCCAGCAGGAAAAGGATTTCTACTGAAGCCACTGAACGCTGGTGTGCAGACATTCTCACTGAGTTTGGGGCCCACTCCATAAACACACACCAACACTCAATCTAGGACTCACAGAAACTCTTTTTATACCGCCCCTGGCAGAACCCAGTAATTCCAATCTCTCCCAGTAGATGCTGAATTCTCTAAAATCAGCAACAATGTTCAGAGTTACACAGGAAGTCCTTTCCTGCTTGGGATTTGTGAAGCAAGAGCCGCTAGCAGGGAACCGGGATAACCAGCTTATCTCCAGTGTGGTAACAATGCCCCTGGATAATTGGTTTCCCATTTCTAGGCCTCAGTTTCCTTGCTATTTGGTGAAGAGGCAGGATAGCAGGATCCCTAAGGGCTCTCATGGTCCCACATGTAGAATGCAAGAGATGAAGACATAAAAACATGAGTCAAAACGCTCCTATAAACCAGACCAACTCCCACAGAGAACCTGGCCAACAGGAACCCTCTACCACCTTTGGCCCACTGGAGGGAGGACATGGAGAAAGGATACTTGGGCCAGAATTCATCTGAGTCTGCTAGGAAACCCAGCCCACCCTGCCCCACCTCCCCAAGCCCCTCACACAGACAGCGGTTATCCCAGGCAGCTCTCCCAGCCACACAAGGCACCAGACCTTGGTGGGACCTTCCAAACTTGAAGATCTGCACTTAATATATCCAAGGCCTCTCTCAGATGCCATAGACAGTGAGTGCTCTGCTGAAGTTCAAACCCATATTTAACCCTATGCTGCTGTGGGACCCTCCCAGCACCCTGGTGGGAGGGGTTAGGAACTCCCACTTCCACCTAACAGTGAGGAAGGTGCATACACACAGGGTGGGCCTCTACCAAACAATCTGAGCCCATCCCATTCCACAAGGACAATGAAGTGCAGCGTTTATGCCCAGAACCAGTCAGGCAGTGCTCCAGTGACTTGGGACTTACCTTTCTTTTCTTCTTCTTTTTTCTTGGCAGCTTCTTCCCGCTGTTTTCGGATAATTGCCAGCCGGGCAAGGTCTGCTTTGGCTTGCTCTGTTTTCCCAGCTAAATGCATTTTCATGTAACGTTCTTTTGCTTTCTGCTTCTCAATTTCTTCTCTGTTTGGATAAAATAGTGTCACAGGGGACATCTTCCCCATCTTTATCAGCTAAGGTGGATGTGGGAGCCAGAAAAATGGCCAAGTACTCAGGCCTAGGCCCAAGTGGTAGAGGATCCCCTGGCTAAGGGAGGGGCCCTGGCTCCATGTGCCCCTCCCTGATGGATACTCACCAAACAAAACACGCAGAGGGACCAGTCTGGACCTCTACATGGCAGGCTCAAGGGGCTGGGGGAAAGCTCAAGTTATGTACTCAGCCTCCTCAGATAGAAAACACAGGATAAGGGGTAGGCTCAGGGCCTGTGTCCTTGGGAAAGCCTTAGCACAATATGGACCATGTCTGGCTGGGGTAGTGAGGGGTGGGCAGGGTGTGGCTGACTAGGATCTGGTGTCCACAGTGAGAAAGGAGAACCAAAACCAAGTGAACTGTGTCCACAGAAGATGACCAGGAGAAGGAAGGCAATAGAAATCACATTCTATAAGGGGTGGAGAAAGGAGTGAACCAAGTGGCCATGGATGGGACTAGGCACACCCAATCCAGGTAGACACGACACGGCACATTCTCAATCAGTGCAGCTCAGATGTGCATGAGGTTGCCCCCAAGGGGGTGAACCCCCATAGATAGGGGTGTGAATAAGAGCTGGACTCCCATGGGACAAAGGTGACAGCCACCAACACCATAAGTAGAGAGAAGAGAGGGTCATTAATTTCCCTTTGAGGATCTTCTTCCCAAGCCTGAAATTCTGAACTGGAATGGGCCCCCGCCAGAGTATGAGATTAGAGTGTCTCATTTACACCAGGTTCTTGCTAGAGCCGATTTTGGAGGTGGCAGAGAAGTCCTGCCTGGCAGGAGGTTGGGGAAGGGAGAGACTTAGCATCCCACAGGCCTCACAGCACACAGGGCTGGGGAGTATTGAAAAACAAGGTCTGGGGCACGGCCAGAGGGGAGGGGAAAAAACCCCTGCAATCAAAGTTGGATGTGCAGATGTCTCACCCAGAAGACTGGACAAAGCACTTCCTAAAAAGATGAGACAGGAATACCTGTCAGCCTGTACTAGGAGGGAGGGGCGCACGGAGGCATCTGGAATGATAAGGTTGCCTGAAGGCTCTGCAGGGCCCCCTCAGTGAAGGCTAAGTGCCAGGCAGGGTGCAGGTCTTTATGGCTTTCACTCTGCAATCAAAAAGGCAGGAGCAGCAACAGGGTCCCTTTTCACTGGTGAGAAGGAATCTATTGGAGGAGTAGAGTCCATCAAAGCCTCTAATCACACCCCAAGCTTTTGGACCTTCCTCATGGGTTTTCATAGACCTTGTGGGATTTTCACAGACCACATCATGGAGCCAGCACAGGGAGAGGAATTTAAATCCCAGCAGCCTTGTCAGAAGAAAAAACAGGGCAGCTTTCCCTAACGACCTTCAACCTCTTATAAGGCCTTTGATGTCACCTGGCAGCCATCAAAAGTCAGGTTACTGCTTATGGAAAACGGGCCGTGTGCAGGGCACCTTGGTACTTGACGATGATCCTCACACAATCTATAAGGAAACTATCTGCTGCTCCATTTTCACCTAAGACTTGGAGAGGGCTGGGCAGCCAGTGGATCTCCCTGCACTGTGCTGTCTTCTGGACTCCACAGGCCCCAAATCCCCTCCTCATCTCATGGCCATGACATTACAGGTGGATACAGGCCAGGAATGATGAGATCAGACTGGATAAGGGAAGTGTCCCTGGAGTGGGGTGCAATGGAAGCAGGAACTATGGCAAAACCCTCTGTAACCCTGGGGATTACTTCAATTGCAAAACTCAGGTCTGAATCTGCTCTCCTGTTTCTATTAATGAATTTTAAAATTCTTTTTTGTTTTGTGGAGAAGCTTCTAGAGCAGCGGTCATCAACCTTTCGGACCTTATGGACCACCAGTGGTCCGCAGACCACCAGTTGGCGATCGCTGCTCTAAAGAGCCTTTAGGGCAGCAGTTCTCAACCTGTGGGTCGCGACCCCTTTGGCAGTCGAACGACCCTTTCACAGGGGTCGCCTAAGACCATCCTGCATATCAGATATTTACATTACGATTCATAACAGTAGCAAAATTACAGTTATGAAGTAGCAACGAAAATAATTTTATGGTTGGGGGGGTCACAACATGAGGAACTGTTTTAAAGGGCCAGAAGGTTGAGAACCACTGCTTTAGGGAATGAGATGAAACAGAGATCAACACCATAGCTGAAGCCACTGGAGACCTCAGAGCCCAGGAAGTGGGGGCCTCAATGGAGATGGGTGCCTCTGCCCCCACAGGTTAGCCCCTGGTCTGTGTGCTCAGGTCACCAGGCCCAGCAGCAGAAGTTACCGTTCTCTCCTTGAAAGCTCCTTGGGCCCATCCAAGTCCAGTTGTGTGACTTTTTTGGTTGTCTGTGCCACTCGGTTGGGGTTCTCGATGTCGATAAGGCCTTCCACACCTTTGCGCTTTTGCTAAGATAGGACAAGAAGTGGCTGTTAGAGAAGTCCTGCAGAGCCCCTGAAGGCTACTTCCAACATCTCCCAACAGCCCGTCTGGATGGAGACAAACTCCTGTTCCACCCCAGCCCACCCCAGATGCTTGGCCCCAAACCTCACAGGATTGTCTTTACCAGCCTGGGAGGTACAAGGAGAGCGAGTGCATATGACTTAGAGCCCAACCTATGCTAAGTCCCAGCAGCCAGGGATTATTATCCCACTTTCAAGGGTGATAAAATGTAGGCACAGGATTAAATAACTTGCCTCAGGCCTACCAATAAGTAAACAATAGCCCAAATCAAAATCTCCCAGCACAGAGCACTCACTACTCCTCCACTTTAAGTTTAGACTCCCTAAGCTGTTTTCCATGGAATCTCACGCCTGACTACAACATGCAACGCTGGATCCCCAGAGTACAGTGGGCCAGTGATTATCTCAGGACCAATTCTAATTCCTAGCCATCTAAGCTGACAGGAGGGAAATGTGACTTTAGCCATCAGATCACAGCCTATGAGTTTTGAATGCTGGCCCAAACACCTGGAGCCTGCACCTCCCACATCCCAGAGAAGTTCAGAAAGAAATGAGAGCACAAGTTCTTGATGTAGTAGATTTGGTCAAAGTATCAGACCCTGTCAACCCCATCTTTCTCTTTAATAAAGTGACCAGAAAGATAGCTTCTAAACACCAGTCAATCTGACCACTATACAGAGCTGCAGATACCTATATCCAATCTGGCTACATATATGCACCTCAACTTGGATAATTGATATCACAAACTTAATGTGTCTAAAACAGAACTCAAGATTCACCCCCAGCCACCCTGCTCCTCTCCAGAATCCTAAGCATGGCCTTATTCCTTCTTACCTCAGCCCCCTCACCCAACCCTCAACAAACTCCACTAAGTCTATCTCTAAAATATGGCTTGAATATGCCCACTCTTCTGCACTGCCATTGCCACCACCCTAATATAAACCACAGATTCTTGTCTGGATACCTACCAACATCTCACTGCTTCCCAAACTCAATACACCACAATTCACTCTTTGCAGAGCAGCCAAAACAATCTTTTAAAAGCAAATCTGGTCCTCTCTCTCCAACTTCGAGACCTCCACCAGCTGCCCACTGCCCACCTACAGTGAAACCCAAACCCCTTCAACAGCCATACCAGAGCTGCCCTTGCCAACCTTTCCTCCTTCATCCCTAACCACTCTACTCCTTATCCACCAAGTCACAGTCCCACCAACTTCCTTCTATTTTTTAAACATGATCAGGTCATTCCACCCCAGGAACTTTGCACTTGCTAATCTGGCTACCTCAACTGCTCTGCATGGCCTGCTCCATCTTGTTTGAGATCTGTTTAAAAGTAACTTCCTTACCACACACTACTCCCAAGTATCCTTGATCACAGTCCATTTTATCTGTAATACTTCTCACTACTTGAAATTACACCGTTCATTTACTTCCCTATTGCCCATACAATTATATGCCCCTTAACAACAGGGATACATACTAAAAAATGCATCGGTAGGCGATTTCGTCATTGTTCGAACATTAGAGTATACTTACACAAACCTAGATGGTATAGCCTAAGTAAGTGTACGTGCTATGCATTTACGTGACTGGTAGGTTTGTTTACACAGCCTCACCATAAACATTTTGTGAGTAATGTGTTATACCACAATGTTACGACGGCTATGATGTCACTAGATGACAGGAAATTTTTAAGCTCCATTATAATCTTATGGGACCACCATCATATATGTGGTCCATCTTTGACAAAAACATCGTTATGTAAACCCTTACGAGCAAAGACTCTGTCTGCATCTACCACTGGGACTGGTGATCAACAGGCACTTGATAAATGTTTGTTGAATGAATTGCGTTCAGGTCTCAGGTCCCCACCAAGCTCAGTACCTGGTAATCATCTTCTTCATCCTCACTCTCATCTGAGTCTAGTGATTTCTTCTCCTTTTTGGGGTCACCTGCAGCCCCATCTCCATCTTCTTCTCCTTGTTCCTCTTCTTCCTATTTCAGAAATGGACAACCTACAGAATTAAAAATGCAAAACAAAACCCCAAGACTATGACACCCCCTTCCCCCCTCCCCCCCCAACTACATCTAGACTGTGGACCTTGAGAAGGCCAAGATCAAGGATGACAAGGCTCCTATTCCAAGATCCTGGTACCTCTGGGTCAGAAGCAGCCTATCCACTAGACTCTGCAGCCTGGAAGTCATTCCCACAGTCCAGCAAGCCCCTCACAGCCATAAAGGCCCTGTTCCCCTTCTCCCAGGCTAGGTACCTCATCTCCCAAAGTCAGAAGGACTCAGCTGTGGTGCTAGTACTGTTCAGCTCCTCTTCTGCTTCCCCAGCTGCCATGTGCAGCTGTCAAATCATACTTACTTTTTTCGGGCAAGTCCTCCCCTGCTACACCAGCTTCCCAAGACAACGCCCTGGCACACCACTTTCCTCCACTTTTCTTGCCTCCCCACCAAAAAGATCCCTTACAAAACCTGTACATATTCTCCAAGGTCCTGCTCAGCTGCCAGCCCCTTCATAAGGCAGGCCCTCCTTCCCTGTACCCAGGCCCCTCTACCCTAACCTGACTGTGCTTCCTTCAGATGAGGATCTAATGGTGTGGTAGAGGACACGAACAACAACGACAGAAACATATTTTGTTTCCTCTAAGTTGCCTGGAAAAGGCAAAGTAGAGATAACTACTAAGCTTGCACTGGAGAGGGAAGGGTGTGTAGCACCAGTGAGAGTCACAGAAGAGGTGACATTGAGCAAGGTCTCGGGAACAAATGTTACTTTGCCTGGTAGGGGTGTGGGAAGGCAGGGCATCATATGCTGGGTTTGGCAAGCAGTCCTGCATGGCTGGAACAGACAAGGGGTGGTGCTAGGAGCTCAACCTAGAGCCTGGCAAAGGGAGAACCCCTGGAAGGTGGGAACATAGGAACAAGAACAGAGACTCCCTAAGGCAACCGTTGCTGACTGAACAAAGTTCTAACTGATCCAATCAGAGGATGGCCAGCATTGGTTGTTCTGAGACTCATGCCTGCTCCTTGCTGCTCCCCCAGATTCCAGGTGTAGGCTTCTTCCTGAGAATGGGTGGTCCTTGCCAGGACTATCTGGGTGCCAGAGGCAGAGCACCACCCTGGGACACAATGTCATGGACAGGCATGTACTCACCCTGGCCTTCTGCTTTTCAGCTTGGAGCTGTGCGTCAATCTCCTCGGGGCTCGTGTATTGCCGTGCCCGGCCTTTGTGGCCTCCCTTTCTCCCTGCAAGAGGATTGGCAATTTAGGAAAAAGGAAGGGAAGCAGCTTCCTTGATTGCCGAGCCCCAGAGAGCTATGTCCTGCTTGAGGCACTCTCATCAGAGATTGCAGACCTCACCTGTCCCTCACCAAACACAACCCAAACCTATACTTCCCCCATCCTCATATATTCAAAGGAAAAAGAGGCAACATGTGACCACCTGATGCGGCACTAACTACGTGCTGGATGCAGGTTCCCACAACAAGACCTGAGGGGAGGATATGGGGGAGAGCATACTGCATGTAGTGACTGGATAAATTACCTGGTCCCTTAGAATCCAAACATAGCAGATAGATGCAACTATGAGAACATGTAACACATCCTTGCTGTCACTACAGTCCTTTTTACTTGCAATGTTCTGTGACCTCCATGAACTCATTTGATCCTCAGAACAAACTTATGGTGCAGGAGCCACAACTGGTCCTGTTTTATAGACAAGGAGACTTAAGATCAAAACAGAATGGTGAAGAGCACATATGCTGCAATCCAACCCTGGGGTTCAAATCTCAGCTCTACCACTTACTACCTTTATAATTTGGGGCGAGTATTTAACTTCTAAGAATCTCAGCATCTTCATCTGTGTCCCTACCTCATAGGGTTGTCATGAAGATGGATTTAACATATGTAAAGCTGTTGGGACAGTGCCTGGCATGGGATAAGCACTATAAAAATGTTTCTTGTGATTCTCATCTTTTTCTCTAACATATAGTATTGGGGGGAGGGACAAAGCCACATACGTGATTTACTACAGATGCTAGGGAATGTAAGATACTTCATCTAAGTGGTATTATAGAAAGAGAAAACCTAAAACCTATTGGAGAAAACTTTCTTGTACTTGTAGTAAGAAACATAGTTAAAGTTGAAAATAAACCTGACTACCATCTAAGAGTTAAAATATGACTAGTGGGAGAACCAAGATGGCAGTGTAGGTAAACCCTGGTACTCACCGTGTCCACAACTACATCAAAATTACAACTAAAATACAGAACAACCATCATTCAGAACCACCTGAAATCCAGCTGCATGTGTCCCACAACTACATCAAAATTACAACTAAAATACAGAACAACCATCATTCAGAACCACCTGAAATCCAGCTGCATGTGTCCCACAACTACATCAAAATTACAACTAAAATACAGAACAACCATCATTCAGAACCACCTGAAATCCTGCTGCATGGAAGTCCTACAACTAGAAAAGTAAAGAAGAAAGCGCACTGAGACTGGTAGAAGGAGTCAAGGCATGGAACAGGCTGGTCTGACACCCACATGTGATATTTCTTTAATTGGGAGGGATATCTCCAGGGCCTCCCGCAAGAAGCAAGGGATCCCAGCCCCACACCAGACCCCTAGCCCAGGGTTCCAGAGCTGGGAAAATAAGTCCCCATAACTTCAGGCTGTAAAAACTAGTGGAGGATTATCCCTGAGTGACATGGAGGCTGCTGGAGTCGAGTCCCAGGTGTTCCTCTTAAAGGGCCTGCACATAAACTTACGGTGTCCCAATTCCTCTGAGCTCCAGCACTGGGCAGCAGCTTTGGGGGAATCCAGGGACATACAGGGAAACTGGCCTGGCATCAGGGCAGAAACTCGGGGGCAGCTTTCTCCCAGACAGGGGTGCTTGCCGGGGTCATTGTTCCTGTGCTGGAACCTCCCCCATCGCAGAGCTGACTGGCAGCCATATCTGAGTCTCCATCAGCCTGAAACACACTGTTTGCTCCACCCTGATGATTCCCTGAGACCCTGCCCCATCCAATTTGCAGCCCCCTCCCAAGCTGTTTGCAGTTGCTTTACCATATGAATTGCCTGTCTGGGCTCAGGCTTCAGATTTTGCTAAATTCTCTTAAACAAGCAGCAGCTGGGGGCAGCTTACCCCAAACCTATCAATAAAAGGCCCAAGACCCAGCACTAGCACCAGCCTGCCTTGCCTCACAGCTGGACCTCGCTTGAGCACTTCCTAGCCCAGCCATGGGCAAACTACGGCCCGCAGGCCGGATCCGGCCCGTTTGAAATGAATAAAACTAAAAAAAAAAAAAGACCGTACCCTTTTATGTAATGATGTTTACTTTGAATTTATATTAGTTCACACAAACACTCCATCCATGCTTTTGTTCCTGCCCTCCGGTCCAGTTTAAGAACCCATTGTGGCCCTCGAGTCAAAAAGTTTGCCCACCCCTGTCCTAGAACAATACAAATAGCAGCCATTTGCAGATCTCACTGTAGCTCCTGTCGGGTGGCCCCAGCCAGTGGCTGACTTTGCACCTCCTGGGAAGCCCCAGAGCCAGTGACCCAGTGGACAGCTTCAGACCATACCAGGTTACAACTCTATGCATCCAACAGTGACACACTCAAGGGGCAGACAAAGTGAGCATCAACACCCCACTGAAGGAAGTCCTGCTCCACAGAGGTGTCTCCTGCATAGCAGCTCTTCCACTGCAGACGCAGCTGGTCCTCACAGCTAATTGGCCTGGAGGCCAATTCCTCCCAGGCTCAACTACAACAAGACTGTGCACACAGACCACACAGGGCCACACCTAGAGTGCTCAGCTCAGATGACCGGGGAGGCTGAGACACTGGGCCCTACAGGACACCTATTACACAAGGCCACTCTACAAATTCCAGGAAACAACAGCTCCACCTAATACACTGAAACAAAGACAGGGAAGAAGCCAAAATGGGGAGACAAAGAAACATGTTATAAATGAAAGAAATGGAAGCAAGCAAAAACTCCTGGATACAAAGTTCAAAGCAATGGTTATAAGATTACTCAAGGATCTTAATGAGAGCTTTAAGAGACTTAATGAGAGCTTCAAGGAACTTACTGAGACTTTGAAGGATCTCAGGGAGAATGTCAAAGACATAAAAAAAGACCAGCCAGAAATTAAGCATACACTAACTGAAATAAAGAATAATTTACAGGGATTCAACAGGAAAGTAGAGGATTCTGAGAATTCAATCAAGGATTTGGAATAGGAGGAAGCAAAACACACCCAATCAGAAGAGCAAAAAGAAAAAAAAAATATCCAAAAATATGAAGCTAGTGTAAGAAGCCTCTGGGACAACTTCAAGCATACCAATATTCACATTATGGGGGTTCCAGAAAAAGAGAAAGCCCAAGACATTGAAAACCTATTTGAAGAAATAATGACAGAAAACTTCCCTTGCCTGGTGAAAGAAATAGTATACCCCATAAAGATAATATTAAGAAAGGGTATGCTATGAAATTAGTAACATGATTTAATAATACAGTAATTCATAGTATTATGTATCATCCTAACTTTAGCATTACAGCTGCTAATACTACAGAACATGAAATAGGGGCTTCAACATGTGCTTCAGGCAGTCAGAGATGGAGATCATATAAAGGTATCTTTACTATAAAAGCTATCATGTACGCTAGTCACAATAATGTATTACCTCAAGAAGATACTAATGGGCCCTAACCGGTTTGGCTCAGTGGATAGAGCGTTGGCCTGCATACTGAAGGGTCCCAGGTTTGATTCGGTCAAGGGCGTGTACCTTGGTTTCGGGCACATCCCCAGAAGGGGTGTGCACGAGGCAGCTGATTGATGTTTCTCTCTCATCGATGTTTCTAACTCTCTATCCCTCTCCCTTCCTCTCTGTAAAAAAAAAAAAAAAATCAATAAAGTATATATTTAAAAAAGAAGATACTAATGGTTTAACTCAATATTGGGTCAACAGAAATTTTAGTGAGCCTACATTATTTTGAATGTAAGTTAATGTAATTAGTAAAGGTAGTGACCCTACTGGAGTGTAAAATAAGAAATAAATTCATGCATTAATTCACTCAGTCTGCCGCTCTCAGACTGGGTAATAACAATAAGAATGGGGAGCCGTAACCAGTTTGGCTCAGTGGATAGAGCGTCGGCCTGCGGACTGAAAGGTCCCAGGTTCGATTCCAGTCAGGGGCATGTACCTTGGTTGCGGGCATATCCCCAGTGTGGGCTGTGCAGGAGGCAGCTGGTCGATGTGTCTCTCTCATCGATGTTTCTGACTTTCTATCCCTCTCCCTTCCTCTCTGTGAAAAATCAATAAAATATATTAAAAAAGAAAAAAAAAAAGAAAAAAAAAGAATGGGGAATAGTGTGGCTTCAAATAAGATGTAAAGTAAAATTCTGTAGCTGAAAATGTTATGATCAAGAACATTTGGAGAATATAATAGTATAATAATTTTTTCCCCTGTTTAAGTTGCTTTGGCCAGGTGAAATTGACTAGCAACAATCAAAAGTGGTAATAGTCAGGTGGATAGTATAAGTAGTAGGGTAGATAGAGAATTGGAAAAGAATACTATTGATAGGTTTAGGCTGTTATCATTAGGCTGGTTTATTAGGAGTAGACATGTTAGGCTAATTATTAGCCTACCAGAGGCCCGGTGCACGAATTTGTACATGGGTGGGGTCCCTCACCCAGTCTGGATCGGGGCCAGCTGGCGTGGGGGAGGGACCGCGGGAGGTTGGCTGTGGGAGCACACTGGCCACCAGGGGGAAGCTCCTGCGTTGAGCGTCTGCCCCCTGGCGGTCAGTGCACATCATAGCGACCAGTCAGCCAGTCTTAACAGTCGCTTAGGCTTTATATATATAGACTAGAGGCCCAGTGCACAAAAATTTGTGCACTCGGGGGGGAGGGTGGGGTCCCTCAGCCGGGCCTGTGCCCTCTCGCAGTCTGGGACCCCTCGGGAGATTACGACCTGCTGGCTTAGGCCTGCTCCCGGGTGGCAGAGGGCAGGCCCAATCCCTAGGTGCAGCCCCTGGTCAGGCTCAGAGCCGGGCCGATTGGGGAGTTGGGGCGCCACCCCCTGTCATGCACAGAGCAGGGCGGATTGGGAGGTTGCGATGCCACCCTCAGTCACGCTCAGGGTAGGGCCGATTGGGGGTTGGGGCACCGCCCCCTGTCACACTCAAGGCATGGCCGATGGGGAGGTTATGGCTCTACCCCATCACACAC